CACTGCACCAGTGTAACTGTTCTTCCGTCCGTGGTTGTATGAGGGTAGAGTGAACAGGATACATCTGCCCAGGCACATTTCCATTTCAGAAAGGCACCAGCTGACTCATCACCCTCTGCACCTTGGTGGTAGGGGAAGAGTTCACTGATGAGGATACACATGCTGAGGGCTGCAGCTGGCTGGTCATCAGCATAAGCAGTTGCTCCAACAGCTACCTCTGCTGCGTTTGGTTGATCCCGTTCCTTTTCTTCCTGTTGTACTCGAAGCACTCTGCTACCAGTCTTTTCCATTACAGCTGCTGCTACTGGCATTCAGGGTGTTGGACCAGTCTGCATTGAAAATCATTATACTTTCCTGCAGCAAGTGGTCTCTGCCCCTTTTTTCTTTTCTGCTGCTGGTACTTGCCACAAAAGGCGGGGGTGGCTTTATCAGTCCAGCAGAGGTTGAAGCTTGCAAAGTAAATGAAAGGGACTCTTTTTCATCCAGAGAGGGAGGTTTCTTCCCTTTAATGACTTGTCACAGCAAGGCCTCAAGTTTGCTACTTTTATCTACCTGGTATGCTTGCTTCATCTTTCCACAGTTGCCCATTCAAAGAAGAGGAAAAAGCACTAAAGTTAGTCAGTAGAGCTGGAGCATCCACCTGATCCTATGCGTTTGACAGGACATGGCCACCCCTTGCTGTTAAAGCTTCATAAGCATCATTGGATTCTGTGAGAAAAGAAAGGTGTAGGAAAGGTGATTTTTACTGCTGGTTGTGCTGCAGTAGCATAGATCGCTAATTCGTCGAAGCTAGAAAAGGGTCACATCTGATCAGTCCCTCCCTTGTCCCGTCCTAAATCCTGTTGCCAGTGCCTTGTCAAGTGGCGGCTTTGATGTCTTGGGCAGCTGAGCTCTGACTGTTTCCCTTGAGAGGTTCTCTCTTATCCCAGAACATGCTGTTCCTCAAGTGAAAAGGTAAATTTGGACCATGTTGTACGGCTGCTTTAGGCTGTGTTAGGTAGAAATTTCAACGTGTCACTGTGGACATAGACATGGTAATCTTTCTGTGGAAGCCATAATGGCTGATGTCAGCTACAGAGTTGGGGAAAGGGGAGTCTATGGCTATGATTAGGTTTTACTGCATTAAGTGTCTTGTTGCAGGAGGTGCCTGTTTGTTACCTAATTAAATCAGTGCCCTTGTATTATGTTGATGGTTTTATTGTTTGATTGGGTGGAGGATGCAGCTCCGTTGTTCTAGGATTAGATAGTTTCATCAAATTAGATTAGATGACTGGGTGTTGCTGTTGATACCTGGAGAAGATGGAGAGAAGGACAGGTAGAAGTGTGAAGTGTTACACAATTCTTAATGAGTTAAGCCTTGAAATGCCTCCTGGCTTCTCCCAGGTGAGTTATGATGAGAGCTGATCAGGGTCATTCAGGAAGCTGGTGGTAGCTGTGGGAGCAAACAGCAAATCCTCTTGATTTGCAGTTGTGCTTTAACCCTCCTCTATTTAAATAGCCCTGGGTCCACTGGATCTCTAGTACTTTACATCCAGCCTGCGTTGTTGGGTCAGAGTGGATTGGGTGAGGATACTGCCCTGTAACAGGAGTTGTGTGTCTCTGTATTGACGAACACCATGCCACAGAATTGTGCTTACAAATCCTAGCTTCATTTTTTAATGATCTTGTCTACTTACAGTTTTTGTCTGTGAACTGAATGCATGCTGCTGTAACATTTTCCCAGCCCTTCAAGTAGGGTTGATGGATGAACTCCGTGGCTAGGTGGGAAGTAACAGGGCATGAGTTGGGATAAGCAAGACAGCATCTAGGACTCTTTGTTTATTTTACTACAATACAGCATGTCACACACATCTCCTTTTAGTGTGGTGTGATGCTATGAAGTGGAGATGATAGATAATGTTTTTGCTTTCCAGTCCCCTGTTCTGATTGAAAATTGTTATGCAACTCTAAGCAAGCCGTCTGGCCTGTGTTTGCAAGGAGCAGGGTTTGGCACAGGTGTAAGGGAAACGTGAACTCCTGAGGGCAGGTGGATGCAAGAGATAGGGAAATTACTTGTGTCAGCTTCATGCCAACACTTGAGAACATGGATGGGTTCACAATGAATTGGGGGAGTGCTGAAACAGATCTAAGCTATTCCTTGTTGTATTTATTTACAGCAGACCTACTCGTAGGAGTTGAAACCTCACTGCGGCTATCTTAACACAAACAAATCTCTGCTGAGTTGGAGCTGAGGCCCTCTCTTTCCTTGTCAGTTAGAGCAAGTTTTGGTCGTCTTTTCTGTGGATGATGCATTGGAAGGAGGGGCCCCAGGGTTTGGCTTTGCTGTGAATTCCTTTTGATGTAACACTTCCTCTACTATTTCTTCAGGTGATCTCTGCTTGTGTGAGAAGGGGTTCTGAACTCATCCCCTCCATGATGAGCACCGCAGTGTCGTGACACCAGGGGTCTTGGTGAGTTGCTCACAGGAAGTGCTGGAATCTACAAGATCCACAAAAGCTTAGGTGCTATATATGACAGTCTTTGAGATGCTGCTTGTTCAAACAGTTTAAAACTTGGTTTGGTCACCCACTGGCAGTGGCTGCAGATTCTAATATAAAAACAAAAATAGTGCTGTGGGTGGATGGCTGACTCTTCTAAGGCAGAGAGACTCTAGCTCTGTGAACTGGAGTTCACTTTCCCTCATGGCCCATGGTAACCTAGATGAGAGCATGTGTAGAGAGCTTAGACAGTTGAAGGATTAGAGGGGAAGGCCGGGGGGCTTTATCCTAGTGGACACCAAAATTCTATACCTAAAAGTATTCAAACCTCACAAATAAAGATTGTGATGTTTTCTATTTCAAGCCCCACAGTCCCATACAATTCCAGTATATAGAGTGGGGGAAGTAAAGGAAGAGTACAGTGATTGTCAGGTCAATCATTAATTAAATTAAATAATTAAAATTAAAGATGGTTTTAATTCTTCATTCGGTTCTTTTCTTGCAACTCAGTGCTGCAAAGTTCCAGTTTTTGTGTACTGACGGACAGGGTGTGTGAGGGTATTGCATACAAAAGACAATGTTGAAGGAATGTTCTATGTTGCCAAGTAAAGCATTTGAGCACTTGAATTTAGGAAATGTCAGACTTAGGTTTATTTGTGCAGTCTGAATTCTGTCCCCTTCTATGTCCATCCTTTGCGCTGAATAAAACCAGAGTCCTGTGAAAGCGTGCATCATCATACACTTACAGCTGCAGCAGGTGTGTGTATCAGGAGGTGCACCATTTTGCATTGGCTTCTGAATATCTCTTGGAAAGGGAGACTTGGGTACTTTTGAAAAGTGTTTAAAGTTCTGTTTGCAAAAGACTGGTAAGCCAGAGTTGCAGTAAAAATTAGTGAGACTGAGGTGCTTCTGAAAAATTGTACCTCTTGTCTTTCTATACACAGGTAAAGCACCAGGCACCCCTTTTACTATATTAGAAATAACAGTAAGAATATGACACAACATTGTTCTCAAAACCGGTGAGAGTCATCAGCTTGGGGTTCTGGAGATGTACTGCATTTATTCGACTCTGAACTGAATTTGAATTTAAGACAACTCTCCAATGAATTCATAGATTTCATAGACATTAAGGGCTGGAAGGGACCTCATGAAATCGAGTCCAGCCCCCCTGCCAGAGGCAGGAAGTCTAGATAGATCAGATGATCCCAGGAAGATAAACATCCAAATGCCTTTTGAATGAGTCCATAGTAGGTGCTTGCACGACCTCGGGGCGGGGAGTCTGTTCCAGACCTTGGATACTTGGACTGTAAAGAAGTTTTTCCTTGTATTGAGTTTGAATCGGCCTTCTAGAAGTTTGTAGCCTTCTAGACCTGCTTGTCCCTTGGGGAGCCGTGGTGCACAACTGTTCTCCCAGACCCTGATGCACCCCCATTATATACTTATGCGCTGCCACCAAGTGCCCCCTGAGCCTTCTCTTCACCAGGCTAAAGAGTCCCATGTCCCTCAACCCCTCCTCATAAGGCTTGCTCTCTTGGCCTTTGATCATATGGGTGGCTCTCCTCTGGACTCTCTCGAGCTTATCCACATCCCTCCTGAAGTGGGGGGCCCAAAACTGGACACAGTACTCCAGCTGCAGCCTCACTAAGGCTGAGTAAAGTGGGAGGATGACATCCCTGGTTTTGCTCGAGATGCATCAGTGGATGCATGCCAGAGTTTGGTTTGTTCTGCCGGCCATGGCATCACCTTGGTTGATTAGATTCTATACATGTAGATTCTGCTTTGTACTCAAATCCCAAGATGAGGGTCTTTTCCTCCCATGTTGAATGCGGGGGGGGGGGGGTCCTCATCTTGGATTTGAGTAAATAAAGTCTGTGGAGTTTGCAGATCCGATTGGAGTGCATCGTGTGTCTGACAGCAAACTAAACCACTGGAGATCTTTTTGCAGAAATGCTCCCTGTGTTAGTGGGCTTGTGAAGGTAGGAATATTGAGCAAATGGACTGGAGTCATCAGTGTTCCTCCAGAAAGCCAGGGAGATAACAGAGGGGAGAATCTTTGGAGTTGTAAAGGTCCAGAGAATAACATTGGATTGAGGCTACATCACATGACATTACTACATATGTGTGACATATCACCACAAGACTGGTGTTAGGAGCTTGGGAGCTACAGAGTCCAATATCGTAGATTTGGCAGCAAGTCACTGCCCCAGTTTCAGTGACCGAATAGTGGCTGATGTTTCTAATTTAATCTTCCATATCAGCACATAAACAAATCAATTTGTATACCCTAAATACCGTTAAAATACTAGTTCCCTCAACACACAAGAACCTGCTGGCCAGATTAGAGTTATTTTGTTTCAGTTGGTGCATGCTTCTTTAACGCTGGGAAGGAATACGGGGAATATTTACACTTGAATAATATTTAACTAGTAATGCTTAATACGTTAACAATACGAGACAGAAATTTGTTCTAAAACAATTTTAGCCTGAAGGAAAAAAAACATTTGTGTTCAGTAGTTTGCTGCTCTGTGTTCCTTTACTGCCAGCATCACGCATGTTGCTTCTCCTCAGAAAGATACTGGAAAATGCTTGTGTTGAATAAGAATCTCAGTAGCTTGCACAGTGTTGCTGAATGAGTTCAGATGGGCAGACTTTGAATGGCCTGTCGGCCTTTCTAATAGAGTGATTCAGGCTAATCGAGTCTTATGTTTCCTGAACACAACTAGTTATTCACAGGTGGTCAGGAAGGCACTTTCTTTTGGTGTCCTGTGCACTGTGCAGCACTACTTAACTGTGTTGTGTAAGATGGGAAGAAAAAAGTTCATATTCTTCTGAGCAGCAAGTGGTGGCGGTGGCCGTTTGGACCAGTGGGCAGGCCCTGTCTTAATTCTGTGGGGGATCTGCTCAAATAATCATACGCTCAGACTGCAAATACAGAAAAAAGCCCCTAATTTCTCTCTTCCCTGCTGTGTTGAATCCCATGTAACTTTGGGAGGAAGGAGAATTGCCTCATCACCTCTGAGCGTAATACTTGGCCAGAACTTTCTCCTGCTTGGAACCAGCCGCAGTCTTCTCTGGTTGCAAACTCCTTTCCATTGCCTTCCCAGACCAGGGGGTGGCAGTTGTTTTCCCTTTACTAATGGGAGTGGTTCATTCCTGTCCCTTACCTGTCTTCTGTTTTCTTCCTATGCGGGGGGCGGTCGGACACAGTGCGCCCTGGAGATGCGAGACTTCCCCTCAGCAGCAGGAGGCACGCATCCGGAGAATGTTGGAGCGGCAGGAGGGAAGTGCCCCGCGCAAAAGCAGAGAGGAACAAAAAAGAAAAAGGCAAGCAGACGGACAGCACTGAGAGGCGCGTGTGGCAGAAAGTGCTGCAAAGCTGCCCGTGGCAGCCGGCTCCCCAGAGGAACTTGACGAGAGCCCATCTGTGTGTGTGACTGTGCTCAGGACTTCTGTCAATGCATTCCAGTAACCCCAAAGTGAGGAACTCCCCGTCAGGAAACGCACAGAGGTAAGAACCCACAGCCAACTGCTTGGGAGTGGGGGAGGCACTGCTCTGTTGCAGCATTTGCTGTAGACTGGAGCAAGATGAACTGCCTCTCACTCCACTTGAAGCCCTGCCTGCAGAATCTTATCCTATTAAGCAGCTCTAAGGTCAGAGGTACTTCCTGTTTCCATCTCAGTTCAGAGGTAGATCCATACCCCGCACAATCAGGTACCACATGTCCTCTGCCTTGGTGGTTCTCAACCTTTTTTGTACCAGGACCTATTTGTAAACATGGATGGCCAATCTCAACCCAGTGCCCCCCATCCCCAGGCCTGAGCCTCCCAGTGTGTGGGGGTGGGTGTGTGGGGTAGGGGGTGTGTGTATGGGGCATGCAGGGTCCCAAGCAGCCCCTTGCAGGCTGGAGCTCTGCCAGACTGGGGCAATAGCCATGGTTTCCCACAATTTTCTCCTTTAAAGGAGAATCAATTTTAAAGTTTGTTTTTCCATGTTTAAGTTTGTTCGTGTTTGTGACCCTCTGCTCATGACTCTTGTAACCCACTTTTAGGTTGTGACCTACAGGTTGAGAAAACACTGCTCTCACCCCCTCATGCTCTACCACAAGCAGGTGACCAAATGATTGTGGAAAAATGGTTATCCTGCTTCTTCCTGTCCTGTTCTCTTTCTCACCTTCAGTTCCACAATGAGATAACTACATAACACAGGACCTGTGTGCTTACACTTCTGTGCACAATGCTCATGGTGGCCTACTGCCAGGAGCAGCATGGGACTGATTCAAATGACCCAAATTGTATCTATCCACCTTCTCTTGCAGTAGCTTAAAGACTGTTCTCTACTGGTTTGGAAAGGGGGAAGCGCTGAAGGCCAGTGCTGTGCAGGACATGCAGTGTAGTTTGCTTGGCAGCATCCTCCAGTCAGGAAGAGCTGGGAGTAACTTGGGTGAAGTGCCTCTGAAGCAGCTGTCTGTGCAACTGAAGTGAGGATTGTGAGGCTATTATAGTTGCTGCCTTTTGAAGCATTGGTTGCAGAGACAAATTGGCTTCCCAGAAGATCCTTGTGGAAGAAAGGGAGGTGACACTGGCAAAAGAAAGGGTTAGGAGGAAGGCAGGACTGTGCATGCAGGAAATCCAGGGAGAAAATATAGTTTTAAGATGTAGTCTGTTTAATGGAATAGACGGTGGGGAAAAGGTTGTCCTGAATATCTTGGCAAACTAATGAAGCTTTCTCCACTCCATTTTGCCAGGGGTCTGTGTAGAGACAGCTTGCTCCTCTTTCCATGTTCAGAGGCAGGTTGTAGCTGGCTTAATAGTTTTCATAGTCAGTGGTTTGTATTTTCCTGGCACGTTGCCCTGCCAAGCACTGAAATCATGCTGGCTTTCTGTTGTCTTCTCTTGGACTGTCTTGTGGTGGGTTGCTCTCTTCTGTGATCCCAGCTCTATTATGTCATTTGGGTCCTGCTCTCTAGTGTGGTGAACTTTATGGTGCCCTGTTTGTTTACTCTTTGAGCTGGTCTTGGTGCGAGTAGCTTCTCTGTGTACATAGAAACCGTTGTCTTTATTGACAGAAGCCCCAGAGGTGGTTCCTCATGTGACTGAGCAGTTTCTGGGATCCGGCAGGCCCGCTGCTGTTTCTTGTGGCTCCTTGAGAAGGGAGATCTTGGTTTGGATAACCCTTCCAAGGCATGTTGGAAACTGAAGCTGGATAACACTAAATATGGAGACGTTTCTTACTCATCAGCAGATGTGTGGTAAAAGGTGGCAAGGGCTACTGCCACAGCATCTCTTTATCCTGTTTTCCAACAGAATTGAATGAGTCTGCTGTCTGATGCGAGAGATGAGGATTTTTGTGGGTGATAGCCAGACCAATTGCATAGTTGTGATAATGTTAATCTGTAGTCTTAGCTCTCTTTCTCTCTTCCCTCCCACCCTTTTTTCTTTTTCAGTAGCCCCAAATCAAAGCAGGAGGTGATGGTCCGTCCCCCCACAGTGATGTCCCCATCTGGCAACCCCCAGCTGGATTCCAAATTTTCCAACCAGGGCAAGCAGGGGGGCTCGACTAGCCAGTCCCAGCCCTCTCCCTGTGACCCTAAAAGTGGAGGTCACCCCCCCAAAGTGCTCCCTGGCCCAGGGGGAAGTATGGGGCTGAAGAATGGGGCTGGAAATGGCGCCAAGGGGAAGGGGAAGAGAGAGAGGAGCATTTCAGCAGATTCCTTCGAACAGAGAGATGCTGGCACTCCGAACGACGATTCTGAAATCAAAGGTATGTCTGGCAGAGGAGGCGCATGCATGTAACCATTGGCATGAGAGCCACCTATGAGATGATGAGTTGCCTAGCAAGTATTAGCAAAGCATTTTTCTGCCTGAGAGGTCTGCCTGTCTGTGGCTATGGATGAACATAATGATATACCATTTGAAAAGGGGGAGGAAGGGGGACTTGATGCTTAGGAGCATGTGTTCATTAAATAAAACAGATTTAAATTTACAATGGTTTAGCTCCACTCCCTTCAGCAGAGAAACGGGCAGATGAAACAATTAGAGGAGGTTATCATGAGCCAATGTAAACTAGCATGATTTTAAACTGCTAGAACTGCCCACACCTTTTGTGTCCAAGCCCAAAGCATCTAAAAGTTGAGACGGGAGGGGGTAGGGGAGGGGAGGATTTCTGCAGTTGTTCTGTGTTCAAATGAAGTGCAGCCCTGGTCAGGTGGGAAGTTGGTTCCTTAGAGATTTGGGGAATATGAATAAAAGTTGTCGGTCTCTTTCCATCCTGCTCTGTCTGTTGGCTTCCCAGGAACCATTCTGTTTCAGGTGGAGGGGGAGGGTGGTAAGCAGTACACTGCTTGAACATGAGCCAGTTTTGTGAATGGGGATGGATAAGTTATATTGGGTGACAGGAGCTAGGCTTGTTTCTGCCATTGATCCTTTAAGTGAGGCTGGGCCTCATTGCACCTTGGCTTTTCTAATGTCCAGTACAACAAAAGTTTCCCTGGTCCTTCTGGGAGGGATATATTTATTTGTCTGTAAAGTGCTTTTGAGTCCTCACAGGAAAGCTGGTTCAAAACTGCACAGTTTTTCAAACTGCTACATGATATTGGGCCTTCCAGGATTTGCATGTGTGTCTTCTAGAAGACTTGACAAAGTGACAAGAGACGGATGTGTTTGTGTGTGAGGTGGCTGAGTTTTTGGCTGGCATGAGCTAGAAGCTGTGTGGGCAGTCTGACAGTACAGCAGGCTAGCATTCAGGTGGCATGAATAGCAAGAAAGAAAGGTCTTATATAAAAGTGTTTCCACACAGATTAGAAGGATTTAAATTTTTATTTAAATATTTGTTAGGTAGTCAGCACCTGGGAGCTTCAGCTAAGATCTAAGCAGCATGAATGTCGTGCCAGCAGAGCTGCTTAATGTAGGCAGGAGGAAGCGTGGTGTAGGCAAAGACTGTTAGAACTGGCTGGGGGAGGAGTATGGACTCATAAGAATGGTGGCATGGTGCCAGCTGAGCATCAAAGGTGGGGAGGGCGACAAGCTTCCTGACAGTTTCCAAACTGAAGATTTCCTGTTTCACCACCTCTTCTTTCCTTCTAGACTGCAACTCCGCTGACCATGTGAAGTCCCAGGATTCCCAGCATACACCACACTCTATGACTCCTTCAAATGCTTCAGCCCCAAGGTCTTCCACCCCTTCCCATGGTCTGACTGCCACTTCAGAGCCAGCTAGTGGGCAGAAGACTCCATCCAAAGTGGTTTATGTCTTTTCTACAGAGATGGCCAATAAGTGAGTAAATGGTTGAATATCCTTGGTGAGTGTGGCTTGCCAATTCCATCACATGCAAGTCAAAGCATGTTTCTTCCTTTAAGTTCTCTGTGGGGCTAGAAAACGCTTGCAGATACAGCGTCAGGGGAAGGGCATTGACACCTGCTAAATGATGATTGTTTCTTCCTCCAAACCTAATTTTTGGCATGTGCTGGCAGAGAAGCCTGTTTCATGGCCTCTGCAGTGGATGGGTGTAGGGGTGAGTTACCTGGTAATGTGTACTCAAAATAGTAATTACTAAGACTATAAGCACTGAACCTTTACTACTTTTATTTCTCCTCTCTACACAAAAAGGTTCAAAATTAGCATGGCAGTTTTCTTTTATCCCTTCTGGTAGCTGAAGGTGAAAGGGATTTAAGAAAGAAATTTATCAGTCTTTAGCCTCACCTGTGTTTGTCTGTCTGCAGGGCTGCAGAAGCTGTGTTGAAGGGACAGGCAGAAACCATCGTATCCTTTCATATCCAAAACATCTCAAACAGCAAAGCAGAGAGAAACACTGTACCCCTGGTAGGGTGCCTCTTCATAGGACTGTGTGGCTGCTATTGTATGTGTTGGGGGAAGGACTATTTATATTTTAAAATGCGTGTTCTAGATGGGAGAGAGTGTTGTTCTCACTTTTAGGGGATGGAAGGGGTGGGATGGTTTGAGGCATCTGTAGTCTAGGTTTTTTGTTTGTGTTTGTTTGGGGGTGGGATGGAGGGGATGCATTAGCATTGTGGGTTGGTATTTTCTTGCCTCTGGACTCATCCAGCAGGTACAGGAATGGGGTGTAAATGTCATAATTTATATCTTTGGGTGATACTTGAGCAAAATGAACACTGTTGTGTTTGCACATTGTCAGTTCTTGCAGTGAAACACACTGCTCTGTCTTTCAGAACACCCCAGTCACGGCACTTCGGAACGAAACCAAGCCCCAGCCCCAGCCCCAGCCTCAACCTGCTGCCCCACAGGACCAGAATCCTCCCCAGAATGCCAAGATACAGCCGACCCCACCTGCTTTGGCACCAGCATCCAAATCCACTGCCCCCTCGTCATGCCCCATTGATCAGGACAGCCCTGGAGTAGAAAGCAAAGTAATGTCTGTGGGCAGCCCTACTAACTCTACCCCATTGCAGACTGAGGGATTTGGGCAGAGTTCAACCCCCAATAATCGAGCAGTCAGCCCAGTCTCCCAGGGGAGCAACAGCTCTGCTGCTGAACCCAAAGGTCCTACCCAGCAGGTATCTGGTGGGGACCCATCCAGCTTGGGTGAGAATCCAGATGGACTGTCTCAAGAGCAGTTAGAACATCGAGAGCGCTCGCTGCAGACTCTGAGAGATATACAGCGTATGCTTTTCCCCGATGAGAAGGAATTCACTGGAGGGCCAAGTGGGGGGCCTCCTCAAAATCCAGGGGTGCTGGATGGTCCCCAGAAGAAACCTGAAGGGCCAGTTCAGGCCATGATGGCTCAGTCCCAAAGTTTAGGCAAAGGGCCTGGGCCTCGGACAGATGGAGGGGCTCCATTTGGCCCTCAAGGACACAGGGAGATGCCCTTCTCACCGGATGACCTGGGGCCACCACCCATGAACTCCCAGTCTGGACCAATTGGACCAGACCACCTGGATCACATGACACCTGAGCAAGTGGCTTGGCTAAAGCTGCAGCAGGAGTTTTATGAGGAGAAAAGGAGGAAGCAGGAGCAGGTGGTTGTGCAGCAGTGTTCCCTGCAGGACATGATGGTCCACCAGCATGGACCTCGAGGGGTGGTGCGAGGTCCCCCTCCTCCTTACCAGATAACCCCTGGGGAGGGCTGGGGACCTGGAGGTCCAGAGCCCTTTGCTGAGGGTATGAATATATCTCATTCTCTGCCCCCTAGGGGCATGGCCCCTCACCCTAACATGCCTGGAAGCCAGATGCGCCTGCCTGGGTTTGCAGGAATGATCAGTCCCGATGTGGAAGGCCCCAATGTCCCCAACCCCACATCCAGACCTGGGCTTTCAGGAGTCAGTTGGCCAGAAGATGTGCCAAAAATCCCCGATGGCCGAAACTTTCCTCCAGGCCAGGGTGTTTTCAGCGGCCCTGGCCGAGGGGAGAGATTCCCAAATCCCCAGGGCCTGCCAGAGGAGATCTATCAGCAGCAGTTGGCAGAGAAACAACTGGGCCTTCCTCCTGGCTTGAACATGGAAGGCATTAGACCTGGCATGGAGATGAATCGGATGATTCCTGCACAGAGACACATGGAGCCTGGGAATAACCCCATTTTTCCTCGCATGCCAGTTGAAGGGCCTATGAGCCCCTCCAGGGGGGACTTCCCAAAAGGGATTCCTCCTCAGATGGGCCCTGGTAGGGAGCTGGAGTTTGGAATGGGCCCTGGCAGCATGAAAGGGGACATGAATATGAATGTTAACATGGGCTCCAACCCACCCATGGTACCTCAGAAGATGAGGGAGGCTGGAGTGGGGCCAGAGGAGATGATGAAACTGCGTCCGGGTGTCTCGGAGATGCTCCCCTCTCAACAGAAAATGATGCCCTTGCCATTTGGAGAGCATCCCCAACAGGAGTATGGCATGGGTCCCAGGCCTTTCCTTCCCATGTCTCAGGGCCCAGGAGTTGGCCTTCGAAATCTCAGAGAGCAGATGGGACCTGACCAAAGGACTAACAACCGGCTCAGTCACATGCCGCCACTACCTCTCAACCCCACCAGTAACCCTAATAGCCTCAACACAGCTCCCCCAACTCAGCGCAGCCTAGGACGCAAGCCCTTGGATATCTCTGCAGCCAGTCAGGTGCATTCACCTGGCATCAACCCTCTAAAGTCTCCTACCATGCGCCAGGTTCAGTCTCCCATGATGGGTTCTCCCTCGGGGAACCTCAAGTCGCCTCAGACTCCATCCCAACTGGCGGGAATGCTTGCAGGCCCAACGGCAGCAGCAGCTGCTGCTTCTATTAAGTCTCCCCCTGTTCTGGGATCTGCTGCTGCTTCACCTGTCCACCTCAAGTCTCCGTCCCTTCCTGCACCTTCTCCGGGTTGGAGTTCTTCTCCAAAGCCCCCACTGCAAAGCCCTGGGATCCCCCCAAACCACAAAGCATCTCTCACCATGTCGTCCCCAGCCATGCTGGGCAATGTGGAGTCAGGTCAGTGCTTTTTGTTCTATCTAGATGCAGATTTAGTGTTTATAGTCAGCTTGAAGTGTGAAGAAAGAGACTGGGGGATTTGCAGAGATTTCCTAATGTACGTGTATGTGGTGGTTGGATACAAGCTTTCTCTGCCTAGGCAGTTGTCTTTGCCAACTTGAAGGAGACTGTTTCTAGGCTCAGAACGAAATGGGTGGGTGCATGAGTGGAACTTCGAGCAAGTGCTGCAGTACGTTGCCTCTTTCTCTCTCCATATGCATGCTGTGAATGTACTTGGGCTGTGCTTGTCCTAAAGATGAGGCTTGGGCATTTCTATCAGTTTGGAGGAAAGGGTGAGGGAGATGGGGTATGGGGAGAGGAGAGATCATTTTTAACAGAAGAGCTTTCAGCAGTTTCTCTTTGCCAACCTGCCACTAGTTTCTGAATCACTGTGGCATTCTGGAGAAATGTTGCCATTTTAAATCACAGCAGCAGTTTGAAATAAAGGGGTTTGTTGGGAGAATGAGGAAGAAAGAGGTACCTTTTAATAAATATGGACCATATGAGCTGTCTTTCCAGGTACAAGGATTGTAAAGGTTTTCTAGGTTCCCTTGACGCAGCCTTCTGGGAAGAGTTTCACTGACCTGAAACCAGATTTTGACTTGTTTTGTAGATAGCTAAGGAGGTGGTAGGTAGACTCTCCACATCCCTTGTATGTCTTCAGCTGATTAGCATAGCATATAGAAGACCTCATCCCAGGCTGGTGTCCCTGCTGTGCTAAGTGCTGACATCTTTGCAAAAATCTTAGTTGGTCTAATAAAAGGTATCACCTTTACCCTGAGTTCTGATGCCTTTTGCCTCTAGACCAATATGGCTACAACCTAGATACCTTTCCTACCTCAAAGAACTTTAGCAGAAGATCTGTAAATGTGTTTAAGTTTGTGGTCTGTCTTGCCTCTCTGCAGCACCAGTCCCATCTCTCTCCTCTATATTCGAAGCTTATTGGTACCTGAGTCTATTCCTTTGGTAAGCTTCCAGATAAGCAGGTCCTTAGTGTGCAGGGTTTCTGTGCAGCAGCAGTCGCAGAATCAGTGTGGAACCAGCCCTCTGGAGCTTTTCGGTTTGTGAGATCTGACTGCAGGAGTTGGAAAGAGGAGTGTGCAAGATGCTTGGTTACGCTGCCCTCTAGCGTCTCAGGGTGATAAATGCACCAAGAGAGAGAACCACAGGCGTATTTCCTGCTTTAAAAAATTGATTGTGCTTGTGACGCCGAAATGTGAACGTTGAGTTGCAAACTTCTGTGGCAACCATGGACTTCTTCAGATAAGTCATTTAGCCCTCCTTTTCAGAGTCGTTCGTCTGCCATATACCTCATGGCATTGGAGCGTGGAATCTGGACTGTTTGCT